GACGATGATGTGTGTGTTTGTCGTGATGACTCATTAGAGGACATAGTACAGGAAGTAATGCCAGCACAGTGCAGCAGTGAGAGTGAAGATGACAATGAAGAAAGGGATGACTTGCTACCAACTGTCACAGCCATAGCTTTGAGCACATCGCTCAGCTCCGGAAGTTTCTGTCTGCAAAAGAAGAGTCCCGTAAAGAGCTACTTGCATTGGCTGGTATTGAAAATTTTATTTTGAGATTGTATGTGCTGACTAAACAGTCCACAATCGACAAATTTTTTGCCGGATGAACAAACTCAATGTCACAGCTCTTTCACTAATGTGTTATGCCTGTACTTGCTTATAATTAGGCCTATGTAGAGGAAACTGGCAAAAATCTGCTTTGTATGAGTAGCTATCCATGTAACAAATCATAATGCTGTCCAGTATCATATTTGGATGAATTTCTGATAATTCAAACTAAAATCTGTGACTTCCTGGAGTTTGAATGAGTGAGACTCTACTGTAGTTTGCTGTACGGCATTTCGCATTCAGCGAGTCATTTTGTCACTGTACACAGACGAAAGCATAAAAGCGTTCGGACAAGTTACGCATTCACGGCTGCATGATGCTGGCAACTGTAGGGTCAGTCGTTAGACTTTGCCCTTGGTGAAAGAGTCCTGTTTGTAACACTGTGCCGCTGGAGCAAATGCACAGATTGATTGCTACTTGGCGATACAACCGCTGCCTTCTCACGTCGACACATGGGAAATACCGCAAACAAAAGCAGACACCGTCACGACTTCGTAAGGTGAAACCGGAGAGGTCAAGAGCGGAAGAACTGCTTGAGTGTTGACGTGCTATGTCGCATCAACAGCAGAGGCCTGCCATTAAAAAAAAAATATACTAGTTTGCAGTTTCTTTGCTGGACGTGACGTCACGACAACTGACGGCAGCGATTGGCTGTCAAAGTGATGTAGATTCTTTTGGGGGGAATTTGCCACTGAATTCATAACCTGACATCAAATGTAGTTTCTAAACATGGCAGATATAATCGGGCCAGTTTCCGTCCACAATGCTGCCACCTAGTCTGTCGCACAGATTATTTCCGTTGCTAAGGGGCAATTGGGGCTTTATGTAAACATAGGGTGGACATGCGTGTAGGAAAAATAATATGAATGACCGACCAGATCATTGACTCTTCCAACATATTGCAAAAAAACAAAAAAAACGACAAGTCAACATTTTTTTTGTTTTTTCTTCATTTTTAGTGGCTGTCGTGTAACATCGAGGTATAAGTACCAAGTAAAATAAAACTGAAGAAAAAGTACATAACGTAAGGTGTACATGAACTCTATAGATATAATACCAGTCCCAATGGTTTAGCAAAGAAGCCAGTCTTCTCAGAAAACCCCCTCTCTCACTTGAGTCCGTTTTCTAATATTTGAATCTTAAAAAGAAGTTGCCCCGAAAAAGCGGCAGAAAATGCACAAAACAAAGTGACAGTGCCTAAAAAGGTCACACCTGCCTTTTCACATGGCTCTCGGAACTACATGCAGTGCAGGATGCAGAACGGTACCCATGGGCTAGCTGCAGTTGTAACTCAGTGCTAGTAGTATATCGCAGGTGCTTGGAAGGGAGAGAGGCCACCTCCTTCATGCCGTGGTACCGGAAAAAGCAATACCAATTAGCCGCAGGCGTCGAGCACCTTGTATTTCTCTGCATCCACAAAGCATTTCTGGGACAGCAACGACAGAAAACTTCAGTAACACAGTGAACAAAAAAGAGACCAAAAGAGTAGGCATGCAGGCGAGCGTGAATTGTAGGCAGAGCTAAAGCTCAAGGCACAAGGAAGCAGAAAGAGGGCACATGAAGAGGCCTTTCGACTTCCTTGCATGTCGGGCTTGAGTCTCGTACTGGGTAGTAAGAAACAACAATACTGGTTCCCTAGCCTTTCCTGTCTCAACAAGCCTTGGAACAAAGATATCCTACTCGTCATTCATCTTGTTTTCTCTTCTCGGGCGGATTAAAGTGCACGCTGCGGCAGTAAACTGCCTCGAAGGGGTTCAACTCACACTTCTAAGAGAATGATTGGCGAGCAACTTCTCCATTGTGTACTACGTGCACTCCATGTTTTAAAGGGGTACTCCGGCATTTTCTTCATTGTCCCCGATTTGCCTAAAAACTTGCTAAGCACATCAACAAACATCGCTGAAATAGTAACCGAAATATCTGGCCGAAATATCGGCTGTAGACTTTGTTCACAACTGATCACAAACAGTTTCATTGTGTCAAAAGAATGCTTTGGAAGGTCGCCCCAAATCCCACCCAGCAGCACGAAACAAATGCTCGGCATAGTTCATTTCTACACAGCCGCTCGAACCGTGAGCCTGTCATCCCGCGACGCAAGGACGTAACTAGAAGGGGTTCATGGAGCCCGGCCCCGCCCGGCCCGCCGCTGCCGCCCCCCGCCCCCAAAACAAAATCCTGGCTATGTTCCTGCGTGACGTCACAGCAATGAAAAGCACAAGTATATTTCAATCTTGGATTGGCATTATACACGACGGTGGTAGGAACATTACTTGTGTCGAGCTAGAGAAGCCATATTGGGGGCTACCCCAGCTACGTCCACACTGGCTTTCATGGCAGTTATGTGCGATGCAGACAGCTTTCACTATTTCAACCGAGTGCCTAGGCAAACACAGAAGCAGCCACATAAGACAATCAGGAAAAGACGCCGAGTTGTACAGGCTAAGGAGGAAGGTCATAGTGCAGCGAGCTATCTAGTCCAGGCTATTCCTCTGAGAAATGCAGTCGGTGGAAATGTAGGTGAGTTATTCCCGCCATCAATTTAGGTAACTAATGCAAGCATTACACTATTTTGCATATTTCTCTACTGCAATGCTAGTCATCCGCAGCAGAAACAACGCCCCAAACTAAAAAGAATTCTCGTTACATTGTTAACACAGACATCAAGTCCGTAAGCGAGCTGGAGTTCATCAAAGCACAACCGAGAATCTCTCGGAAGTACTTGGTTCCTTTTCAGTAGTTATTGAATGAAAACACAGTGCAGTGGTGATTACCATCAGCACAGCCTTGCCACTGGCACTGCTGTCCCTTGGGTGGCACATGCACGACATGGCCTACAAGCCACATATATCCCTAAAAGAAAGCTGCATAGGATGCACTTACCGTGGCTAGCGTCGCCACCCAGCGAGCTTGCACAAACCCTCTGCATGGCACGCAGTGCTGTTCAGAACAGAGCGCCACTGGCTAGCCAGTTAATGCGAAGGCTTGTAGTGTCTTGCTGCTGCCTTGGCAAAGCTGCAAGTCACCTCTTTCACGCCTTGTGGTGCCCATCAGCTTCAAAAGAAACGGTGTTGAGTCGCGACCAGCTATAACCTGTCGCACAAGGGAGAAAAGGGTGTGAATGTGCAGACTCCTATCTGTTTGCTTTTGTCTAGCGTGTGAGTTTTGTTTGAGAAGAAAACAACAATGACACTTCTTCCACAGTAATATGCAAAACAAAAACGAGAACGGCTTGATTATTAATAAGTTGTGTGCAGCAGAGGCACGGGTGCGAGGGCGTAGCTCCGCAGAATGTTCTTTTTGCACGGCTGCTCGTGCAAAAAGGGCGCTTTTGTGCTCGGGCCTGTGCCTTTTCTGCACACAACCTATGTTACAGAGTGTACAGCACGCCTTCGAGAGCACTCGCGTGCGGCGAGAAATCCATAACATACAAGGTACGATCGCAGGAAACCTCGCAGGGGTGCAGGAAGCTGCAAGTGCACGGTGCACCAGAATGTGAAACTAGAGGTGGTGATAGAATTTCACAGTTTGAGAATATGACGTTACTTGGGTCAAAATATAGAAACGATAAACGTAACTGCCTTACCGGCTGATGATAAGGGCCACCGGAGCACGACCAACTATTTGTTGTGATCGGGGCATTCGATTGGACGCGGGTTGGTAAAGATTTGAAAAACACGAAAGAATAAAACATGTAGGGACGAAGACAGACAGCGCAGTTCTTTGTTGACATGAAATGTAAGATCAAGCACATTATTCTGTCGGATCAAATGGTTTTGTTGAATTAGGTTTAGCTCGCAAGTTAGCCGTTCTTCGGCGGGCTTTCAGGTTTCTGCGATGGTTGTTTTAATCGTGAACGCAGGCTCAAACAATGTAGGCAGCGGCGCCAAATCGATCTGAAACGAAGAAACAGCTCGGACGCGTGGAACGAACACACATAGAGATCACATCACAGGAAAACTCAAACCACTCACCTCTCGTTCGACGACGGTTCGTCAGGCACGATGTTTCCGATGTTTCTCCGGGCGTTGAGGAGACCGCGTCTGTTTCCGTGCTCCTATTGGTCGTGACGTCACCAAATTTCATCCAATAAAGTGCGCGCCGAAGTTTTCTCTAGTCGCCGGTGACCAGGGTGTAAGATAGACAGGTGGGGAAACGGCCCATAGAAGCCTACCGCAGCGCCGTGACCGGATTGTGTACTCGTCTGCTTGCGGGTACCCCCGATTTGCGACAGATGGCGCTGCGGCGAGAGGAAAAAAAACGGAATCGGATTTGCGTGGAACTTTATGGGAGAGTGCGCAAAATAAACCGAGAGCACGACATTCCTTCATTGAAAATCCACGAGAAATCATCTCCGTGAGTTTAGCCGGTCGCCACCGGTCGCCCACCCGGAGTGAGAGTTCGCGGTGCTCCACATAGATGGCGCCACAGAAAAAGAGAAACCCGAGGGGGACACAATCCGGTCGCTCATTTGGCTCTCGTTTCCCCACCTGTCTATCTTACACCCTGCCGGTGACGTACCGGCGGTATCTGTTTTTTTTTTTTTTTTTTTAAATTATATCTTCTAATTTTTTTTAACTTTTATCAAAATAAGTATTTGTAAAAGTTATGGTGTTTTATTAAACGTTTTATGGCACTAAATGGACTATCAAACCTCCTAAACAGCGCAAATTGGCGCAAACGCTGCGAGGTTGACGGAACTTTTGCGTGGCGTCTGGCAACTAGCCCATTACGCGCCTTTTTCTGTAGTTTATGTTTGGTATTTTGTTACTGTCGGAGGAAAACCGCGAAAGCAGGCGAAAGTTGCTCTGCAGTGTGATCGTGTGATGTGCCCAGAAACACGATGAGTACTCAAAAACAAACAGCGCTCACACGTTTCTACAGCGCGAAGAAACTCGGAGTGAGTGCCACCGGCAAGGAAAAATGCATCGCCAACGTCGCCACGAAAAAGATCGAGACACTGCAGATCGCCTCTCCGCTCGTCGTAAGTGGCTACGATTACGTTTCTTCGGCGCCAAAGCGACGTTGCGTCGGTAGCAGTGTCTTACTAAAAGCGCCGACACCGCCTGCGAAACGTTCTCCCATTTCTGATTTAACGACTGCGTGCAAACGACAGCGACTTCAAAATGAAGTGGAAACATCGCCGCTTTGTTTACCGAAGGACGCAATGGACAGTCCCAAAAAAGTACCTTTGGCGGGTGCTGCAGGGAAGGCTCAAGAAACATCAGCTCCCGCGGGTCGAAAATGTTCCCCCGTGCTTAAATTGGCAGCAGGTTCGGGCCGCCTGAAAGAGTTGCACGCACGGCTTGAGGTCATTGAGAAGGCTCGTGCTAGCTTAAGTAAAACAAAGCAAAAACCAGGTGCAAAGCTCGTTAAAGAGTCCGCGCCTGACCAAGGAGCCTACGTACGTTACCATCACCTGATCGAGCCTCAGTCGCCGAGTCTGACCCTTCCCTACAGCTACAAGCAACTGGCTGAAGCATTCCGCTGCTGCGACACAGTCGTCAGCATGCTGTTTAACCGGAAAGAAGTCTGCACTTTCGACAAACTCAAACCCGCGGTGGAAGAGATGTCCAAGAGACGGTTCAGCAAGGAGAAATTGGGTCAGATTAAGGCAGTCTACCCCGGCTCTTACACCTTTATGCAAGAAAAGCTACAACGACGTGGTGCAGAGAGCAAAGACGCCTACCAACTGGTCGTATCTCCGCAGCTTACAGTGGAAGCGTCTGCTGCGAAGACAATGAGTCCCACCTGTCTCCTGGATCGCAGGAAGCTGTTCCATGACCTCTTGCTCTCGCTAGTGATGCGGCACCACCAGGCGTACCTGTCCACCCTGAGCCCACCGGTGACTGTCCCGTCCAGCGCAATCACCCGTTGGCACCCCAAGTTTCCGCTCGACGACGTTCCCCCCGTTTCACCGGCAGTGCTGCCCGAGTGTCCGCTGGAGAAAGGCAGTTCTTCGGCACAGGATGTGCTGAACAATGTCAAAGGGAGGCTGAATGAACGCGTAGAGAAGGCACTGCAGGGGCTCGCTCAGAAGCAGAAGGGACAGCAGCAAGTCAGCGTCTCGGCTGTTCCATCCGATGCAGTTTCTACGGCACGACTGAAGGGAGTTTCCGAAGACTTGCTTGCCCGCATCAGGGCAAGAGAGGCATTCAAGCTGGTGCAACAGATGACGATCCGTCCAGAAGATGAAAAAGAACGGACGCGGCTCTCGCACTTGCCGGAGCTGATCCGCATCACACGTTCGCTGTTCCTAGCAGAACAGAAAGCGGCCATTTCAAAGAATCTGCTTGTGCAGAAGGTGAAGGAAAGCTTCTCGTCCGTCCTCGCCATGTCCGAGGTCGAGGAGTTGGTCGAGCTCGCTTCGAAGGTACTGCCGGACTGGTTTAGGGTGCTCGTGACCCAGCGGGGAACGTTTGTCAAGATCGTCAAAGAGAAAGACGTTAATGCACTTGTGGACAGGGTCACAAAGAAACTTGCTGCGTAATACCAAATGTTAAGTCTGACTGACTGTTTGCGTATAGAGTGTAAAAAGCTGCATTGGTGTGAACGTTCGACACCTGCGTGTTAAAAATGTCTTTGTTCATGGCCCTTTTTTTTTTTTCTCCAAGGCTAAATGATTGTTGTATTTGGAAATGAGCAGAACGTGCTTTTAGCACAATTCAGGAAATTAGTAGGGAAGATACAGTGGTGATACCATAGGGGGCTTATTCGCTGATACAAAGCAGGAAAAACGAAAAACCAAAGTTTTGAAGTAACCATTCTCCTTTTTTTGAAAGTGGACATAGGCATGATGTGAGAACTCGTTGAGTATGTCAGACAAGAGTACACAAGGATGTTGAACCTTCGTTCCATTGTGTCATTCTGTATCATTCCTATGTCTTTTTCTGTGGATTAGTGCATGTTGGTATGCCTTAGAGTGGAAAGAGTTTTAAACCTTTTAGATTGAAAATAATTTTTGATAGCTCTGCTTTTTTTTTTTTTAATGAAGCTCATGTTGTACTGTCATTGTACTCAAACCTTTTAGTGCTGTATATGGTCATTTGACGTGTTATGCATCACGGAATAAAACTTTCTCAATTTCTTGCAAAGCTATTGTGCTTTTAATGTACAAATTTTTGTTGTGTTATTAGCAACACTCAGTGGCTTTTAGACAGCTTTTTCCATGTTGCATGCCATTGTTGAGCTTTCTCAGTGCTTTGAAAAGTGGTGCAGTGTTCTGCTCCAAAGCAGTTCTACCCGTATTCATATTACAAGCATGCAAAATTCTACTGGTTAACCATGCTAATTGCTTTGAAGAAGTGAGATCTAAACATGCCCCACACAAAGAGCTAGTTTTCTGTAATGGCAAGGCACTTTTTTCCATGAATGAATGAATTTGGAGTTTTCTGGCGCAGCAGCAACATAGGCCATAGTGCGCCAAACACAAGGTAAGGAAATATCACAAGGCTAAATGTTTATTATTGCAGCGGATCAAAATATCAAATATCAATTAAAGAAAACTGTAGTTTAAAGTCGATGTAAAATATTAAACTTTTCTAAAAAGTTAAAAACTTGACTGTACGGAGTAACAGGCTCGTCTCCAAGCAAAAGTGCCAAGTGGAAAGGGATTTGTTTTCTGAAAAAGATTGAAAAGCAAGAGCGGCGTTCGTTATTAAATTGTGGGCATACTAAAAGGATGTGAAGTACACTTAAAGTTTCTGAGCAGTAGTCACACATCGGTGGGTCGTCGTTTCTTAGAAGGTAGCTGTGAGTCAGGTGTGTGTGGCCTATCCTCAGTCGACATAAGATGACCTCATAGAACCTTTCTCGATGTCTGGCGCTGCGCCATTCACTCAAAACAGGTTTGACTTTATATAGCTTATTGTGAGGGTCAGAGTCCCACTCTACTTGCCAAGAATTTTTGATTGTATTTCGTAGTGTGGTTCTATAGTCTGTCACTGGGAGGGTGTCAATTTCAATGGACCTGTTTACACATGCACCTGCAACTCGGTCGGCTTCCTCATTGCCGTGTATTCCTATATGGCTAGGAACCCAGCAAAAGTGAATAGTGATGTTTTGCTTTATAGCATTCATTAATTTAACACGAAGCAGACAAACAAGGGGATGCTTCCAGGATCTTGCAGAGTTAAGGGCAAGAAGGGAACTGAGCGAGTCTGTAAATATCACAGATAATCTGTATTTTTGTTTGATTATTTCATCTACAATCACTAAGAGTCCATGAAGCTCAGCTGTAAACACAGATGCATTTTCATTAATTCGAATAACACGTTGGTAGGACTGCCCAACCGCAGCGCAGCCAGCATACCCGGCACCTTTCGTCCCATCAGTAAAAAAACTTTTGTCCGTCTCGTAACGACTAGCAATCTCAAAAAATTCTTGTTTTATAACACTAGCGGCAGACACTTTCCTATTGTATTTTGTCAAAGAGAGGTCGCATGTTATAGTTAGGTCATCCCAAGGAGCAAGTCTCTGTTCAGCTTCCATGACAGAACAAGATATGTCAAAACTATAAGTCGCTGCAGCATCCTTCACACGAAGTGCAAAGGGACGTGTTACGGATGGTTTGTTTTGAAAGGCCTGCTCATATTTTATGCTTTCAATCAAAGAAAAATTTGGGTGCTGTGGAAGAGTATGGAGTCTTAAATAGTACTGCATGCTAAGATAAAATCTACGTTTGTCAAGCGACCACTCATTTGACTCGGCATACAAGCTGGGCACGGGGGATGTTCGAAAGGCTCCAGTTGCCAGTCTGATTCCCTGGTGATGAATTGGGTCTAACATTTTAAGTGTAGAGGGTTTGGCAGAACCATAAACAATACTTCCATAATCCAAAACTGAGCGAACACAGGCCCTGTAGATTCGCAAAAGGCAGACACGGTCAGAACCCCATGAACGGTGTGCAAGGACCTTAAGAAGATTCGACTTTCGCTGACATTTTAATCTTAGTTCCTTTATATGTGAGCCAAAAGTTAATTTACTATCGAATATTAGGCCTAAAAACTTATGCTCCGCTTTAACCGGAATGGGTGTACCTTTAATATACAATGATGGCTCCGGAGACATTCCTCGTTTTCGAGAAAAGCAAACAGCCACAGTCTTCTCGGCAGAAAACCGGAAGCCATTCTGGTCAGCCCACTTACTCATCCTGTTTACCGTAAGTTGAACTTGTCGCTCACAGATGGCTAAGTTACATGAAGAAAAACAAATCTGGACATCGTCGACGTAAAGAGAATGAGTGATTGTGGGCGGAATTACTTGAGATAGAGAATTTATCTTTATAATAAACAAAGTGACGCTTAAGACACAGCCCTGCGGCACGCCATTCTCCTGGGGGAAAGGGTCGGAGATTGCAGCTCCCAGGCGTACCTGAAAGCTACGATCCTGCAAAAAGTCAGCAATGCAGTTGAACATTCTCCCTTTTATGTTCATCGACATAAGGTCCTGGAGTATGCCGTATCGCCAGGCGGTGTCGTAAGCTTTTTCAAGGTCGAAAAATACAGACAGACAAAATTGCCTATTTAATAAAGCCTCGCGGACCGCCGTCTCAAGACGTACAAGGTGGTCAACAGTAGACCGGGAAGTGCGAAAACCACACTGGAAATTGCTTAGTAGGTTCTTTTCTTCTAGTATGTAGATTAGCCTGTTGTTAACCAGCCGCTCAAAAGTTTTCCCCATACAGCTAGTAAGGGCAATTGGCCTGTAGCTCGTGGCTTTACTTCTGTCCTTTCCTTGTTTTAAGATGGGGATGACAATAGCCTGTTTCCAGGTGCTAGGAAACTTTCCTTTCGCCCAGATGATGTTAAAAAACTACACGGCACCTTCTCCACAATGGGCCACCGTCAGATTGTGGGCACCTCGGCCGGGATTCGAACCCGCCACATGGGGATCTGTAGGCCGGCACTCTTGCCTCAAAACCGCCAAGGCGGCGACCAAAAAAAATACTAGGGTTTGTGTGGCCATGTAAATTCTTTTATTTTGAACTATTCACCCCTGTAATCAATGTTTATAAATAGACTCAATATATTCAGTTATGATATCTGACAAGTATGTGAAGTAACAAAGATAAGCATTGTGAGGGTACGGATGACAGAGGCAGAGTTAAACGTTACTTAAAGAGTTTAATAACGATGGCAAATTCATACGGCGGTTATGGCGGGAACATCGCATGGCGGGAGCGTCGTCTAGAGTTCCCTGGTTGGGCCAGGCTTGGCTTTGTGAACAACAAGATGTCGGCAGGTGGCGCTAGTAATGAGCCTGCTCACATCCGACTCCCTCTTAATAGGACCAAGGCCCTTTGGTCCCGAAGCTTTCATTCAGAAAGGTCGTAATCTGTCAAATAGTTGGGCAGGCGCCACACTCGTTGGGTCCTCGAGCTTGGACCGGGGGTTGCAAGTTCTGTGTTGACACTAGGCGTTGGTCCGGTTGTTAAGGGTTCTGCTTCGGCACTGGCTGTTGGTCCGGTTGTCACAGGGTCTGGTTCGGCACAGGCTGTCGGTGCGTGTCGCAGATGGGCAAGGAGGGTAGGGTCAACGTATGGAGGACGGAATACTTTGAGCTGGCTGGAGTGCGCAACTCTCTCGTCTCTTGATGAATTGTCGGCTGGATTAGTTATACGGCGAATCTCATAGGTGACTGGAGTCTTCTGTGCGATGATTTGATAAGGTCCCTTGTGCGTTGGAGCAAGTTTTGTAGTGCCATCTGTGATTGGTTCTTGACGTCGAAGCCATACATGCTGGCCTGGTGTAAAGGTGACATGGCGATGGCTCTCGTCATAGCGACGTTTCCGTCGTTGCTGAGCTTGCTCAGAATTCTGTTGCGCTTCACTGCGGCGTTCTGAAAGGTCTAGAAGTCTTGCTTCTAGGGTGGTGGTTCCAAGGCGTCGGAACTTCTCCATGGGCAGTTTGGGCACATATCCGTGCAGCAACTCAAAAGGGGAAAACTGTAAAGTTGCATTGACGGCTGTGTTCACAGCGAAGGCTGCGGCGCTTAGTTTCTCTTCCCAACGTGATGGCTCTGCGTTGCACATCTTTCTCAGCACCGAGACGAGCGTTCCGTTACTTCTCTCGACAAGCCCATTGCTTGCCGCACGGGATCGAAGCTGCTCGAAGAGTGCTTGCATGGCTTTTTGAAATTTAGCGGGGGCACTTTTGAGTCTAAGAGGCATTCTTGTCCACTGGAACATGCCGCGATGCGTAATGAAAGACGTCTTGAGCTGGTCTTCCGGGCGCACTCTTATTTGCCAGTAGGCAAACCTCAGGTCAAGGCGGGCGAACAGCGAGCAACCTGCTATGTCGTCCATAATGTCCTCGGCACGGGGAAGCGGCTGAGCGACACTGACTGTCTGCTTGTTAAGTGGGATGTAGTTTACACACAGTCGTTTCTTGCTTCCACGAGAAACAATGACAATGGGGAAGGCCCAAGGGCTAGAAGACGGCACTATGATGCCCTTCCTCAGGAGCTCATCAGTTTGCTGCTCAATAAACTGTCGGTCATCAGCTGCATACCGATACGGTTGCCGACTGTAGGGTACAGCGTCTGGAACGAGGTCAATGGCGTGCTGTGCTCCTTCATAGAGTCCCAAGTCGTTGTCGTCGTCTGTAGCAAAGAGAGCAATGTGTCGCTGCAGGACATTTTGAATCGCAGTAGACTCTTCTGGCTGTAGCTCTGTGCCAATTTGGGCTTCGCTTAGAATGGAACTTGTCTTGTTTCTCTCGAAACTGTTCGGGCTACATGTTTTTGGAGAATCACGCTCTGGCTGGGGCGACTTTTCATGGCATGCCAGAGCCAGCCACAAGGGCTGGTTGTCATCTGGGAGAGGCTCAAGTTGGAGACCACCTGTCGAAGGGATAGTCGGTGCAAACGGGGAAGAAGTCAGGGTGTGGAGAAGGACAGCGTTCGACATCCTCGGCAACACCTTCTCCTGGCACAACAAGACGGCACCTGAGCTGGGGTGGCGAATTTCAGTTGGATTAGGCGGCCTCACAACAAGTTCTGCATGTGCTGCTTCGAACCAGTCCTCTCCGAGGATCAGAGGCAGGGGGTTGCGCGCAAGTACCATCACCTCCACGACGGCAGAGATGGGACCAAC